CGGACCCGGAGGGCGGGGGGGCCATCCCCTTCTCCGCCAGCAAGGCCAGCCCGCGGGTGTGGAGCGTCAGCCGGTCGATGGGGAGCGACCACGAGAGGCCTTGGGTGAAGGTGCTGCCCCTCAGCCTGCTATGCGCTGGGCTGCTGCTCTGGTGCGTGTTCAGGGAAGGAACGGAGATTGATGAGCGACTGGAAGCGGTTTTCTCCGGTCAGACCGTGGACCCTTTAGATGTGACCCAAAAAAGCAGCGCTCCCTCTCAGCCGCAGGAGGAGAAGTGAGGACGGGAGTGCAGCTGCAGGGAAGGAGCTGCCGACAGTTTGCTGGTATTCCCCTGCTTGAAAGCCGTACTGACACCTTAATGCGAGAACTTGTTTTTCCAGCCTGTCGGCAGCCGTATTTTACAAGCTTGATTCCTTCATGTATCGTGCTGCTTTCTGTGGTGGTCTTAGCTTAATAATTTACCCTGGTAGCGCAAGGGGTAGTTCCTGCATTGCATCGTAGGGATGGACAGGATGTACTGCAAATGAACTAGCATTTGAACATACTTTTTGTACAAGCCATCTCTCTTCCACAGATCTTTTTTCTTAGGTGCATAGTGTATTAAAATATCAAAGCTGGAAGTCTTTAAAATTGTTGCTGAAGGTGACATTTTGGTAGTCGCAGAGTATGTTCAACTTATATTGAAGACAACTGTAAGTGTATGATTCATTAATATGTGATTCTTTGTGTTCTGATTTTTTCTGTAATTCTAAATAACACAGAAATTACCTTCTTCAACCCTTAATGCATAGGCAGCACTTGCTTTCTGGTCTAGAACTTTTTAGGCATGCCTGATTTAGGTGATCGTTACTGATAGGAGAGGTCTTTGCAAGGAATCAAAGTGATCTGTTTGCATTGTATTGGGGACAAAACCCCTAGTTTCATTGAACAATGCAGTATCTGTTTTTTCATGCAGATTCATAGATATTCAGACTTGCACACTTGGAGAGGAAGAATCTAAGTTACTAATACGACTTAGTTCCCTTCAAAGTTAGAGGCTTTTTTTTTTTTAATTAAGGTTTCAAATGTAAAAATGTGAACTTATTTTTGTGTCATGAAAATTCCTAATCAAACAAAACAAAACAAAAAAAACCCAAATAACCCCAAAAAAACAAACATGGCAGCAGCTAGTAAGACAGGCTGGAGCTACAGACAAAACTTACCAAGGTTGGACAGGGCTTTGAGCAGCCTGGTCCAGTGGAAGGTGTCCCTGCCCATGGCAGGGGGGTTGCAACTGGGTGATCTTTAAGGTCCCTTCCAGCTCAAACCATTCTGATTCTGTCATTCTGTAGTACTGCTGATCAGTCTCTGAACAACATGCACCACCGTGGCTTTTGATTTAGCTGTAGAGTCCCTGTAGTTTAACCAGGTGACACCTAGTAAATAAATACAGTTGGTTTGGTACTGTCACAAGGTTTAGTTTGTCTTTGGATTCAACTTTTACTGCAGTAGAATGTTGCAACTGAGATACACGCACAGGAGCACCCTGGTGAATGAGTGTGTGATCCTCGGTTTTATTTATACTGACTTAAGGTGTAATTCTGACTAGCTTCTCTGATTAGCTTGCTTTCTCCCTGTTTCGTTAAAACAACGAACGTAGCAATGTACTGCTTTTGTTTGAGGAAATAAAGAGCTGTCCCTTCCTGTGTGCCTTATTTTCGGGTGATGTGATAGGCGTTTAATAAAGACTGTTCTCATCGTCTCTTGCTTTAAGGTGTGGGAAAACTGGTAAGCTGTCGTGCTGTTCAGAGCAGGGGGTACGAGGCGATCCGTTCTTCCCGGAACGCCAAGGCGGGG